GTCAGTGGTGTGGGAGTGAATGAACTGTATTAATTGTCTGTGGTAAAGCTTTGTCCCTAAATTTGGCCAACATGTTAAAGTCCTCTTTAGTAAGGACTGATATTTTCAATCTATTAAGTCAACCTCTGGGCCCACGCATTTTGAAAGAAAGCATAGTAAATAGAAAAAGTAAAATGGGTTACAATAGAGCATATACCATCTTACATTCGATCCAACTGAAGCCAGATGCACAGCCAAACAGAAGGTATGTGGGAGTGGAGCCTCTCTGGTTTGAAAAACTGTCTAATTCGAATCACAGGAGAGCCCTAATAATTTTAGTTTAAATGGTGACCCCCATTTGGGAAGGTCTGTGTTATGATCATAGCACCTCAAGGTCAGCGAGCTTCTTAAAGACTGGAAGGTACAATTCGGGACCCAAGAGTTTGACCTTTGTTTGCTGTGCCCATGCCTATTTGTGGCCTCACCTCTACGTACACATCTCAGCAGCCATTTCCAATTTTAAATTGTTCTGACTGTTAGACAAGAATCAACCACATATTGAGACATAATCCGCCTTGTAGTTGAGTCTTGCTGTTGGCTCATATATGGGTCTTCTTTTCTCAGTCATTCATTAATAAGACAGTATAAAGTTCCTGCTAATGGTCAGATGCTCTGATAGGTATAGTAGGTACAAAGATGGGCAAGAAGGCAGGGTTCTTGACCCTCCTGGAGCTGAGGGTCTGGTGGGAGTGATCAACAGTGACAACTGAGGATGGTGAGTAATAAGGCAGAAGTACTGGGTGTTGTAGATCGAGCGCAGTGAGCTACTGGGGTAAACTTTGCCTGTACGTTACCTTGAATGTCACTGAATCCTTCAGCTGTTCATAACATGTTGCCTTTCGCTCTGCTGGCAACATTTTTAACTCTCTGTCAGTTTATTGCTGTCCCTTTTCGAAGTGTGGACGTCAAAATAGAACACAGTGCTATAAATGGGGTCAATTTGTGAGGCTGTTTCCTCTTATGCATTCAATTTAGAGTAGGAAAATGTTGTTTAATCTAATGTGTCTTTTTTTCCTTTATGGTGAGTTATTAACCGTGAGTTCTACATCAGAATACATATAAATGAAAAATAGCACGCAGTGATACTGGTTCCAGTTTTAATTTGAAAATACTCCGTCAAGCATGATATACATTATTGCAAACTCATGCAGTGCTGCTCAGCACAAAAATGAAAGCGTGAACCTTTGGTTTCTACCTTTCTTTGCCGTTCGTTGTGTTCAGTGAGGCATCTGTCCTCCGTTGCGCATGCACAAAGCAGCTGAGCGTTGTGGAATGGTTATATGTTGGACTGGCTCAGTGAAGGATTCGTTTTTGTCCCCTTAACATATCAAGGGCTCTTAGGGCTAATGTTTATGCTCTTTGTGAAGCTTTGGTTATGACTTAAGTGAATGATCCAGTTAGAAACACCTGAGCTCTTAACACAGCGTCTTTAAGGCAAAAGAATGCCTTTTGGGTAGACAAAGCGGTGCAGATACGGATTTAGGGAAGGATGACAATTTCTGTTCGAGGGGTTTCGGGTTACAGTGCAGGCTGAGCCCTCATTTCCGAGCTGATGTGAGGTTGAAGAGTGGGTTGTCTCTGTGGTTTGGATGTAAACTGGCATCTCTCCACTCACTCACTTATTCACCTCCACCAGTACATTCAACTGTGTTTTTTAGAAA